GGCCCCGGGACCCTCACGGATCGATCTGGCTCGAACAGCACGGACCACCTCGGGTGATGACAAAATCATGGCGGGAGGTTTTTCCGTATTTTCGTCCTTGGAGGCCCTCACCGGCCCTCTCCTTCCCAGCCCCCCTCGGGTAACAACAAAAATTCATGTTCGGCAGGCGTTTCCATGTTTTCGGCTTCTGGAGGCCCTCACCGGCCCTCGGGACTGTCGAAAAACGACTCAGGACGAGGAACGGGTCCAGGGGACAGGGTCGAGACCTCTCAAGGTCGACGTTACGACAAAATCATGACGTCGGGGGTCTGGGAGCGACGCCAGAAGATGTGTTCTGAGACTCTGGTCGTGATTTCTTCCGATATTGCATTTTCTTAGCAATGCCAGGTCTCCCAGGATCCGGCGGTCTGGACCCATCCCGCTCGGGCCGGTGGCAATGGGGGGGCAACTGTTAAGTCGGGTCTGTCCCTTTACAGGAGGAGTATTCAAAAATAATCCAAAAATAGTACGGGGACTATTTTTTGAATATTTCTGGATGATTTTCCGTATTTTTCGAATAGATTCGATTTTTCATCCAAAATCCGCCTGTGGGGGGACATGCCCGACCTAACCCAAATGGGGGGGGTGAAGAAAAGGGCCCTCAAGGGGCACTCTTTGGGGCCCCTTTGAGGCCGGTGGTGGCTCCAGCAGGGGCCCTGAAGTGCCCCTTGAGGGCCCCGTTCTGCACATTCCATTCTCAGACTTAAGTCGGGCCTGTCCCTGTACAGGAGGAGCATCAAACATGCTTTAAGAAATAGTATGGTAACCATGCTTGATCACTTTTTCAATATATTTGGGGCACTTTCTTTTAATAATACTTATAGTATTACTGTTATTATTATTCTTATTATTTTATTATTATTGTTTTTATTATACTTGTTATTATTATGATCATCATTCTTATTTTCATTTTATTAACTATTATTTGCTCGTCCACATTCCCTTGTAGGGAGACACGCCCGACCTAATCCCAGACGTCGGGCTGGATGCGTGTGCCGCGGAGGTCCGGACCATTATCTACAGGGCTGGTCTTTCGTCCGGGTCGTTCTTGGACGCTCCCGAAGCCCGGCGAGGGTCCCCAGAAGCCGAAAACGGCCCAAGCACCGCCTGCTCCAATTGCTCTGGCGCGTCGGCTCTTCCAGGGCACACGCATCGAAAAACTTGGAGGCACCGGAGGTGTGGGCAAGTTGGGGCGGGGCGGCAAAGAGGGGGCTAAGGACTATGGTTAAGTCGGGCATGTCCCTCAACAGGACGAGAATTCATTTAAAAGAATCCAAAAATAGTCAGGGGACGATGTTTCGACTACTGTTGGTCAATTTTGGACTACTTTCTGAATATATCCACCTGCAGGGGGACACGCCCGACCTAAGACTAGGGGGGGGGATACCACGGCGGTGGCCATGATATCTCCCCAGATTTCATGGCGCCTCTTCTTCTTTCAATACGTCCCCGGCCCTCCCCCCCCTGGGCCGCGCACGTGCCGCCGGTCATGATTGGCGCCCCCCCCTCTTGGACGCCCCCGTCGTGGCCGCCCCCGAGGGGCCGTCTTTCCAGGCCGAGGGCCGTCGATATGGAGACGGTCCCAGGGCCAAGCGGCCGCGTCGTCGCCCCCCCCCCCACCCCACCCCCGGGAGGCCGAGCATCGCCCCCCAGAAGCGCCCGTCGTGCTCTTCCCTCTACAGGAGGAATGTCCAAAAATAGTAAACAAAAAAAACAGTGCGGGGACGAGTCTTCGAGTATTTTTGAATATGTGTTGACTATTCTTTCATTTTTCGCCCCAAATCCGCCTTTAGGGTGCCATGCCCGACCTAATGTGAATGAACCTCATGCCCCGATGGGGCCTGGGAACCTCCTCTGAGACGAAGACAGGACGTGGCAAGTCACAGCTCGAGCCCTGGGCCCCCATCCCGCCATCGAGCTCGACACCTTCTTCCTCTTTCTCCTCCTCCTTCTCCCCCCCCTCCTCCTCCTCCTCCTCCTCCTCCTCCTCCTCCTCCTCCTCCTCCTCCTCCTCCTCCTCCTCCTCCTCCTCCTCCTCCTCCTCCTCCTCCTCCTTCTCCTCCTCCTCCTCCTTTTTTTCCTCCTCCTCCTCCTCCTCCTCCTCCTCCTTCTCCTCCCTCCTCCAGACGAAGCCAGGACGAGGATAACATCGGGAAAGGATACTTCGAGAATCTCTGAGAGCGGGGGGCTCTGGAGGATGTCCGTCGGGCGCCGCGGCCTCCTCGGAGCGTTACCCGGAGCGCTCCGAGAGCCTTCCGGCATGCTCGGGAACGCATTTGTCCTCGTCCCCAGCCCCGTCCGGTACTCTCGGGCCGGGCGAAAGGGGGGGATTGGGAAAGGGGGGGTTACGAAATCTGCTGCATGCAGCTGGTTTCGGCCCCGCCGAGGTGCCCATTCCTCGATACATGGCCGCCTCCGGCGCCGGGAGGCGCCGGGAAAATCAGCTACGTGAGCTGATTCTCAAACCCCCCCTTTGCTATCCCCCCCTTTCGCCCGACCCGATATTCCCGACTCCCGGCCTCCCAGATGGGGTCCGAGCAGATCGGGTCGAAGGATCTCGCCGCACGGCCGAAAAGCAGCGTGGCCGCTCTCGGCCTCTGCATGGGGGGCCCCTCGCCGGGCCCCGGTGGCGTCCGAGAACTCGGCTCGGGGACGGAAGCGCCGGCCATGGGGGAGTGGTCCTGGCCCCATTGGGGCCCACGCATCGGAGAATACTGGAGCAGGCGGATGTGTGGGGCCATGCGGATAGACAGATCGATGTGGGGTCAGCATTTCTCCACGCCAACAGCGACGACGCATCGGCGACGTCGCCAGTGCATCGCCGAGGCATTCTCGACGTGTCGCCGATGCATCGGCGATGCGGCGCGAGCCTCCGACCCCATCTACGCGGATCCCATCTGGGAGGCCTCTACATCCAGAGGAGGAAGCCGAGACGTGCTCGCGTCGTGAAAGGTTCAGGACGGGAGCTTTTTGTCATAAGTTTCGGCCTCTCGGGACCCTCGACGGGCCCCAGAACAGTTTTGCGTCGGCGACGAGGCAGGGGAAGTCTGCGCTAGCGGAAAGGCCTAAACGGGGGTGCCGTTATGGCGAATTGTGCCATCATGCAAAAGGGGAAGCGGGAAGAGGGCGCGGCCGAAAGAGGGGGTGGAAGAAGCGAGCCGTTCGGGGGGACGGGTCACGCCCCGAGCGAGTCGCGCCAGGCTCCAGGACAGTCAAAAGCAGACTCCGGATGGAAAGCCGTTCTCAGGAAACGGTCGAGACTTCGGGGGCCGCGCATTGAAAGAAAATCAGGACGTCGCGTGTCTTGGCAGAGGTGGCAGTGGCCCTACCGCTGCCCCTCCCTCGTTCTTTCGCCTTTTTGGGGGGGGCCTCCTTGGAGGCCCTCGTCACCACCGCTGCCTTCGCCTCGAAGTGCTTGTCAGGCCGCACCCCGACAGAGAGGCCCAGGGAGCAGCGGCGTATATTTTGGCACCTGTGGGCTCCCCCCAAACACTGCGTGGTATGCTGCCCATCGGTGGTTGAACGTAGGTATCTTGGGTTTCCCACATGATTCCAATCTACGTGAAGCGCCAAACTGCTTCTATGATCGAGTGGCTTCACCTTCTCCGTCCTCCTGAGGGAGCGGGCGAACACCCAGTCTGTTGCGAAGGCCTGACGGCCGGTGCCGCCGACCCTGCAGAGGACCACGACGTCGGCGACGAAGTGGGCGGAGACGGAGGCCGTGGAAGAAGAGCAGGAGGAGGAGGAGGAGGCGAGGAGGAGGAGGTGGAGGAGGAGGAGCCAGGCCAGGGCCGTCCTGGGCCCCAGGATGGTGTATAGACCCTCTTGGCCTCGGCCAGGAGGGCGCATACACCATCCTGGGGCCCAGGATTGCCCTGCCTTGGCACGGTGGTGGTGTATAGATGCCTTCTGCGAATCGACGCCTTCCTACTTCATGCTTCCGCCCGCTTCTTCCCACCGACGGGTGGGCCTGCAGGGGGTGCCGGGGCGGTGCGGCCCTGCTCCGCCGGGCTCGGGGAACCGAGGGCGGCGGGTGCGACGGGGCTCGGGTCTGCCGCCGCTTTTTGAGGAGCGCGCCCCGGATTGTTCGGAGGTGGATGGACCTCCTGCCCTGACACGTCGATTAGTGAATTGGTCGTTTTCGGTTCGCGAGAGGGCGTCGCGGCCGTCAGTTTTGCGGGTCGGGGTCCGCCGGAATTCGGCCCTAGGCCGTTTTCACTAAGGGGAGGTTTACTACAGGGAGGTTTGTCCACCGCCGATTTGACGGTCCTGTTTTTCCCAACCATCCTGTGGTGCTGGGTCTTCGTTTTGAAGAGACAGCGCCCCGCGTTCTCCTCCTCCTCCTCCCCCTCCTCCCTGCTCCTCCCCCCCCTCCTCCCTGCGTTTCACCCACCCAGTACAGCTTTTCGTGGCCCCATAGCCCCAGCCACCCACCCGCCCAGTGCGGCGTTCCGTGGCCCAGCGCAGCGTTCGCCCACCCAGCACGGCGCCCTGGATTTTCACGGCCCCTTTCTTGTGGGGGGGGGATGCCTGCCGCGGGAGCGATCGTCAACTGCCAGACTGCGTCGCGTGACTCTCCTGCCAGCCGCGTCGGGCCAGCCCGAGCCCCCGCGGACCCGAGTCTTGCGCCTCCCTGGCAGGTCTGGGCCGGCCACGCGCGAGGGAGGCCGCCGCCGGGCATCGAAGGGGAGCAGGGCAGGACACACGGTCGGACCGAGGCAGGAGGCCGAGGTCGGCTCGGAGAGGGCGCCCTGCTGCCCTTACGAGAGCCGACGCTCCAACAAGAATTGGAGCGGGCGGTTTTTGGCCGTTTTCGGCCTCTGGGGGCCCTCGCTGGGCCTCGGGAGCGTCAGAAAACCACTCGGGACGAAGATCCGGCCCCAGAGAAGTGATCTGGACCTCCGGGGCCCACGCATCAAGAACAGCTGGAGCAGCCGGATGTCCGTGTTCGTGCCGGTGGGATGTTCTTGTGCATCCTGGGGGAGGGCGCCTTCGGATGTTCCTCGGCGTGGGCCAGCGGAGGGCCTCGTGTTCTTGAGGGGTGCTCTTCTGGCCTGCGTCCGACTGTAAGCATCGCCTTTCGGAGGACCGCACGGCCATCTCGGATTGGCGCTGCGCCTCCCTCGCTCGCGGCGCGCGCCAGGGGCGGCGCGCCAGAGCCGCCGCAAGCGCCGATGCGAGAAGCCCGCGCGGGTCTCCGAGAGTTGATGCGCCTGTGTTCCCTGCTGCCCGGAGACATGGAAGCAGGGCCAGCGAGGTGAGCGACGCCAAGAAACGGGGTCGTCTTCACCGACATTGGCGCGCAAGCTGCTCTCCGTCGTAAGGTCACGCGTGAGTGCCCTCGTCTCCAGTGCAGCGTGCCGCGCAGGCGGCCCGCGTAAACCGCCGCTTAAGGTCGCTGTGCCATCTCGCGTGAGCCCCGTTTATTGATCGTCGCTCAGGCAGGATGTAGGGATCGCGAGGTAGGCCTAAGTCGGGCCTGTCCTTTACAGGGGGAATATTCAAAAATAGTCAAACACATGTTGTGGAGACGATTTTTGTCAAGTTGTCCCAACAATCCTGTGGTGCTGGGCCTTCGTTTTGAAGTGACGGTCCCCACGTTCCTCCACCTTCATCACTCCCCCTCCTCCCCCTCACTCCTCCTTGCGTTTCACCCACCCAGTGCAGCGCTTCGTGGCCCCATAGGGAGCTCCACCGAAGCCCCCGTTGCTACCGTCCACATGCGTCCCGGAAATTCAATGTGGCATTTTCACCAACCCAGTACAGCTCTTCGTGGCCCCATAGGGAGTTCCACCGAAGGCTTCAGTTTCAGCGTCCACATGCGTCCCGACAAGCAAAGTGGGAGCCGGCGGTAAACCGTCAACCAGGTTACCGCCGGGACCCTCGTAGAGCTCTTGACACGCGAAGTAGTGCTCAGAATGCGACGAGACAGCTTCCTTGAATATCAGCTTAAAAATTACTCCGACGGAAGAACCCCACATAAGAATCCTCTGGGCGAATCTGGAAAAAGCCATCACCGTCGTCCTCGTGGTTGGTGAGGCGTCCTGGCTGTCTCTTCTGCGTATATTTCCTCTCGCCTTGGCGCGGGCCCCCCTTCCACTCCTTACGTTGTCCCCATCCTCGCCCCCCTGTTTGTTCCGCGCCCCGCCACCTCCTCCCCTTCCTGTTGCATGAGCGCGCATGTCGATGTTCCTCGGCGCCGTCGCCGCCACGGCCAGCACAGGCGCGTTCTCTACAGGTCACGTCGCGCAGCCGTTGGGACAACCCCGCGGGCCAGGCTGTCGGGACAACCCCGCGAGCCGTTGGCGCGCAAGACCAAGCCGTTGGGACAACCCCGCGGGCTTCGAGCGAGGCGCAGCCGCGCTCAGGCGGAAGGCAGCACGAAGCCCAGCTCTGCCGCGAGCTGCTTCGCCTCCGCCCTGGACAAAACCGTTCTCTTGTCGAACTCCAGGAGCGCCTTCCGCAGGGACGCCGGCGGCCCGCACTCCAGGAACTCTCGCGGCGGCGGCCGCAGGATCAGCATGTTCCGCATGCACGTGGCGCGGGAGAACATGACGTAGAGGTGCAGCCACCACTGCTCGTCCGACATGCCCGTGCGGCCAGCGTCCTCGTCTCTCGCGCAGTCGATGGTGACGCCCTTGCGCAGCGTCTGGCCCTGCGACAGCGTGGAGGTCAGGTAGGACGCGTGCGTCAGGGTGAACCCCGAGCGGCGCACGCTGTGCGCCCCCGAGCTCTGCCATGTGAACTCCCTTTCGCTGGGCCTGAACATCAGCAAGCTCCGCGCCCGCGCCTCGGCCTGGCCGTCGTCGTCGGCGCCTTCGGCGCCCTGTCGCAGCACCTCGGCGACCTGAGGAGCCCAAAAACTTCCTTGTTGCATCCAAAGTGTGGCCTGGGAACTGCGTTCTGGCAGCGCGAGAACCCAACATTGACGACAGTTACAGGTTTTGGATGACCTGCTCGGATTACCAACATGATCTGCGGGCCCCATAGGGAGGGGGCTCCCGCCTGAGACTTCCTCGCAGTTCACTCACAGACGAGGCTCCCGCCTGAGACTTCCTCCATATTCAGGCTTGAGGAGCCCAAAAGTGACGACAGTTACAGGGTTCCGATGACCCGCTCGGATTACCAACATGATCTGCGGGCCCCATAGGGAGGGGGCTCCCGCCTGAGACTTCTTCACAATTCACTCAAAGACGAGGCTCCCGCCTGAGACTTCCTCCAAATTCAGGCTTGACGAGCCCAAAAGTGACGACAGTTACAGGGTTCCGATGACCCGCTCGGATTACCAACATGATCTGCGGGCCCCATAGGGAGGGGGCTCCCGCCTGAGACTTCCTCACAATTCACTCACAGACGAGGCTCCCGCCTGAGACTTCCTCCAAATTCAGGCTTGAGGAGCCCAAAAGTGACGACAGTTACAGGTTCCGATGACCCGCTCGGATTACCAACATGATCTGCGGGCCCCATAGGGAGGGGGCTCCCGCCTGAGACTTCTTCACAATTCACTCAAAGACGAGGCTCCCGCCAGAGACTTCCTCCAAATTCAGGCTTGACGAGCCCAAAAGTGACGACAGTTACAGGGTTCCGATGACCCGCTCGGATTACCAACATGATCTGCGGGCCCCATAGGGAGGGGGCTCCCGCTTGAGACTTCCTCAGAATTCACTCACAGACGAGGCTCCCGCCTGAGACTTCCTCCATATTCAGGCTTGAGGAGCCCAAAAGTGACGACAGTTACAGGGTTCCGATGACCCGCTCGGATTACCAACATAATCTGCGGGCCCCATAGGGAGGGAGCTCCCGCCTGAGACTTCCTCCCAATTCACTCACAGACGAGGCTCCCGCCTGAGACTTCCTCCATTTTCAGGCCTGGGGAGCCCAAAAGTGACGACAGTTACAGGGTTCCGATGACCCGCTCGGATTACCAACATGATCTGCGGGCCCCATAGGGAGGGGGCTCCCGCCTGAGACTTCCTCACACTTTACTCAACGATGATGAGGATGAGGATGATGAGTGGTGGTGAAGATGAGTGGTGAAGAGGATGATGATTGATTGTGGGTGGTGGTGGCGATGATGATGTTTGAATGAGGATGATGCCGATACCGATGATGACGATGATGTTCGTGAGCGTGTGAGAGAGTGCGATGGGGTGAGTGTTCCTGCGCGGGGTGTGCAGAGAAAACAAGGACCCCACTTTGGATGTGGGGAACTACAAAGATGGAGTTTTCGGTTTTATACGAAGTTGGTCCGCCAAGTGTTCTGATAGTAATACTACAGCTACGTGGCCCCACAGGGAGTTCCACCGACAGCTCCAGTTTCACCGTCCACATGCGTCCCGACAACCAGATATGGCATTTTTGCCCACACACTACAGCGCTTCGTGGCCCCATAAAGTGGCTCCACCGAAGTCCCCAGTTGGACCGTCCGCATACGTCCGGAAAACCCAATTTGGAATTTTTCTCCCACCCAGTACAGCGCTTCATGGCCCCATAGGAAGCTCCACCGAAGCCTCCAGACGGACCGCCCGCATGCGCCCCGGAAACCCAATTTGGCATTTTCCCCTACCCAGTGCAGCGCTTCGTGGCCCCATGGGAGGTCCACCGAAAGCCCCAGTGCCAACGTCCGCATGCGCTCCGAAAACTTCATTTGGCATTGTCACCCACCACGTACAACGTTCTTTGGCCCCAGAGGGAGCTCCACCGAAGCCCCCAGTGGGACCGCACGCATGCGTCCCGAAAACTTAATTTGGCATTTCCACTTATCCATTACAGCGCTTCGTGGGCCCATAGTGAGCTTCACCGAAGCCCCCAGTAGGACCGCCCGCGCTCTTCCCGAAAACCCAATGTGGCATTTTCGCCCCCTTCAGAAAAGCGCTTCGTGGGTCCATGGGGAGCTCCACCGAAGCCCCCAGTGGGACCGTCCGCAGGCGTCCCGAAAACCCAAGTTGGCATTTTCACCCACCCATTACAGCGTTCCGTGGCCCCATAGGGAGCTCCACCGAAGCCCCCAGTGGGACCGCCCACATGCGTCCCACGCACATCCAATTTGGCATTTCCACATACCCAGTACAGCGCTTCGCGACCCCATGGGGATCTCCACCAAAGACCCCACTGGGACCGTCCGCGTGCGTCCCACACACCGAATTGGGAATTTGCACTTACTCCGTACAGCGTTTCGCGGTCCTATAGGGAGCTCCAGCGACGGCCCCAGTGCTACTGCCCGCATGCGTCCCGCACACCCAGATGGGCATTCTCATCCACCCACTACAGCGCTTCGTGGCCCCATAGGGAGTTCCACCGACGGCCTCAGTGTTACCGCCTGCATGCGTTCTCCCACAGCCCGTGCAGCGCTTCGTTGCCTCACATGGAGCTTCACCGAAGAAGATATTCACAATTGCGGTACCCACAACTGCATATGGCAGAGTCCTTTGCCAGGATTTGTTTGACTATTTTTGTATTTTTCCAAACCATCCTGTGGTGTTGGGTCCTTGTTTTGAAGAGACGGTCCCTGCGTTCCTCCTCCTTCCTCCCTCCCCTTCCTCCCCCTCCTCCCTCCTCCCTGCGTTTCACCCACCCAGTGCACCGCTTCGTGGCCCCCATAGGGAGCTCCACATGTGCCCTGGAAGCCCAATTTGGCACCCCTCACTCGTTTCGTGGCCCCACAGGGAGCCCCACCGAAACCCCCGGTGCTACCATCCACATGCGTCCCAGAAACCCAATTTGACATTTCCACCAACCCAGTACAGCGCTTCGTGGCCCCATAGGGAGCTCCACCGAAGCCCCCAGTGCGACCATCCGCATGCGTCCCGAAAGCCCAAATTCGCATTTTCACTAGCCCAGAGCAACATCTCGTGGCCCCATACGGAGCTCCACCGAAGCCCCCCCGCGTGCGTCCAGGAAACCCAATTTGGCATTTTCACCCACCCAGTACACCATAAGGAGCTCCACTGGAACCCCCAGTGGGACCGTCCACATGGGTCCCGGAAACTCAATTTGGTATTTCCACCTAACCTGTACAGCGTTCCGTTGCCCCATAGGGAGCTCCACCGAAGCCCCCAGTGGGACCGCCCGGATGCGTTTCACAAACGCAATTTGGTATTGTCACCCCACCCCGTACAGCGCTTCGTTGCCGCATAGGGAGTCCCACCGAAGGCCCCAGTGGGACCGCCCGCATGAGTCCCACAAACGCAATTTGGCATTCTCACCCTCCCAATACAGCGTTTCGTGGCCCCGAAGCCCCCCCCATAGGGAGCTCCACCGA